AAAAAAAAAAAAAGAAATGAGCTTTCATCAAAAAAGACTTATAAAATACATAAATACATGGGGAATTCTACTATCCACAGAGAATCCACAGGTCGAATGAACAGGGGGGACTTGAAATAGTAATGTAATCTGAAAGAGTCATGAAATAAGTACTCTGAAATGTTGAAACAGACAACAGACAGAAGTCAGAATTTAGGAACAAGGCTGCACGCGGTGGCTCATGCCTGTAAACCCAGCACTTTGGGAGGCCAAGGTGGGCGGATCACTTAAGGCCAGGAGTTTAAGTCCAGCCTGGCAAAATGGTAAAACCCTGTCTCTACTAAAAATACAAAAATTAGCCAGGTGTGGTGGTGCATGCCGGTGGTCCCAGCTACTCAGGAGGCTAAGGCAGGAGAATCACTTTAACCCAGAATGTGGGCGCTGCAGTGAACTGAGATCATGCCACTGCACTCCAGCCTGGAAAACAGAGTGAGATTCTGTCTCAAAAAAAAAAAAAAAAAAAAAAAAAAAAGAATTCAGGAATAGAGAATTACACTATGAAAAGCCAGGTGTCAACAGAACAGTACTGGCTGGGCGTGGTGGCTCACGCCTGTAATCCCAGCATTTAGGGAGGCTGAAGTGGGTGGATCATCTGAGGTCAGGAGTTTGAGACCAACCTGGCCAACATGGTGAAACCCAATCTCTACTAAAAACACAAAAAGTTAGCCAGGAGTAGTGGCAGGCACCTGTAATCCCAGCTATTGGGGAGGCTAAGGCAGGAGAAACGCTTGAACCCAAGAGGCAGAGGTTGCAATGAGCCAAGATTGCACCATTGCACTCCAACTTGGGCAACAAGGGTGAAACTCTGTCTCAAAATAAAATAAATAGAATAAAATAGTGTATCAGCTGATAGTACTTGAAAAATACAGCTGCTGTTTCGCAAAGTGTCATTTTTATTGTAATCATATGGTAAAGACAAATGTTTTCTAGTTGTTTTTTTTTTTTTAGATTCAAATTCTATGAACATGAACTAAGAAAGTAGAACTTCTACCCTAAAAAACTTTTCAAAAGTGTATGTGAAGCTGGATACAGATATGCACGCCTGTAGTCCCAGCAACTAGGGAGGCTGAGGTGGGAGGATTGCTTGAGCCTAGGAGGTCAAGGCTGCAGTGAGCTATAATTGCGCCACTGCTGAGACTGTCTCAAATATAAAAAAAGTGCATGTATAAGTGCTTAAAATGTCATTTGAAAAATGCTAATAGACATGCTAATTAAAAGGCAGATACCATCAAAATGGATACAAATCCAAGCCCCAATTACATACTGTCTACGAAAGACAATTTAGACATAAATAAGAGAGGAAATGCATGGAAAAATATACATACCATGAAAACAGTAAGCCGGAGAAGGCTGTAGCTGCTTTCTTTTGCTTTTTTTTTTTTGAGATGGAGTCTCATTCTGTCACCCAGGCTGGAGTGCAGTGGTGCGATCTACGCTCACTGTAACCTCCTGCCTCCCAGTTTCACGCAATTCTCTGCCTCTGCCTCCCGTGTAGCTGAGATTACAGGTGCCTGCTACCACACCCAGCTAATGTTTTGTATTTTTAGTAGAGACGGGGTTTCAACATCTTGCTCAGGAGATGGAGACCATCCTGCCTAACGTAGTGGAACCCCAGCCTGGCCAACATAGTGAAACCTCATCTCTACTAAAAATACAAAAATCAGCTGTGTATGGTGGTGCATGCCTGTAATCCCAGCTACTTGAGAGGCTGAGGCATGAGGCTGAGATCACACCCCTGCACCCCAGCCCGGGCGACAGAGTGAGACTCTGTCTTGAAAAAAAGAAAAAGAACAAAGAAAAGCTAAACTAAGTAGAGGGAAGGGAATAAAAAAAGAAACTGGGCCAGGCACAGTGGCTCACGTCTGTAATCCCAGCACTTTGGGAGGCCGAGGCGGGCAGATCACGAGGTCAGGAGATCGAGACCATCCTGGCTAACATGG